AAAAAAAAAAAAAAAAAAAAAAAAAAAAAAAAGAGAACATTACAGTTAATTACTGTAAATGGGGAAAAATTCACTCATCATTTTTTGTTTCTTTCCTAAGTTTTTCTTTAGTTTTCTCCATTTTTTGTAGTTTTCCTTTTCCCTTCTTCTTTTTTGATTTCTTCTTCCAATTTTCACAATTTTTCACCGTATCTTTTTTTCATTCTGAATAATGCTAAAACTTACTGTATCATTTGTATTTTAGCAAAAAAAAAAAACTGAAGAAACTTCCAAATTTTTTTGTTTTTTTTACATTTTTCTTCTTACCCATTTGTCTGTTTCATTTTTTTTTTTTCAGATCAAATATTATATTTGCTGTTTGATGTTGTTTTTTTTTTTACTATTATTACTACAACTACAACTACTACTACTACTACTAGTCGATTATGATTTCTTCTGTGTTTCAAAGTTGTATTCCATTTAAAGAAAAAAAAAGAAAAAAGAAAAAGAAACATCCATTTGTTATCTCAGTTTCCTCTTTTCCCAGCCACTACTTCCATCCATCCATTCATCAACTTTTCCATCTTTTTTTTTTCACCTCAGTAATTCTTACAAAGAAAAAATCAGCAAAAAGGAAGAAGAAGATTTGACAATTAAATATCTATCTTGCAGTTTTCAAATACCTTTTCTTCAACACCCATTTCCTTCTTTTCCCATCTTTTCCACCGCCTCCTTTGCAATTGACTTCTTTGATTCCAGAGAGAAAAAATTTTTTTTTTAGAGGAAAAAGCGAAAAAGATATTCCTCTTCGCATTTTTCGCTTCTTCACCCCGTACCCCCTCACCAAACCCAACTTCCGACCTCTCCTTTGCTCAAATTTATCCACTTTTTTATAGACAGAACATGTTGTATTCCGCAAAAAAAAAAAAACAGTACTCCCGCGATTAATCAACGTGTACATTTCTGTGTACAGTTCGGTGTATTTGTATGCCCTATTAATTGCTGCTGTTATATTGTTCAGAAACCAACGAAAAAAAAAAAAAAAAAAAAGATACTTGTTTTATTGAGTGCATTTAGCTTTCTTTAAAGAAATTAACAACAACAGCAGAGCAATACAAAAAAAAAAAATGTGTGGTGGTTTCTGTGATGGATTTGTAGATATGGATATATACATCATAAACAAGCTCTAAACTAACAAAAAAAAAAAATTACAAATTTGGTTACAGCAAAAACATACACACTCACAAAAAGGTATATGAAAGATTTGATGCAAAACAAAGGTGACGAACGTGTGACAACTCGCATAAAAACATTACAAAGAGTTGATAATTTACAGCGACATTTTGATACCAAAAAAAAAAAAGTGACTTATAAAGTGGTACTTAGTAATAAAACTACTGTTTACATCATTTAAAACCAAACATTATCAGTAATTAACTGTTATCCTCCTCAATCAGTAATTGTAAAATAGATGGTGATCTATTAATGCTGACAAAATTTTTCAAGCGATTGGTTTTACGTAAACAAGAATTACAGAGAACAACTTGCTAATAAGCTCAGTTTTGGTCGCAAAAAAAAAAAAAGGTAACAGCATACCAATAAAACTTGATCAGCAAGCCTACATCTAACGATTTTATGATCGCTGATTAAATTGTTCGGGGGTCACATATATCACTGTATATCACAAATCAGTTCAATTTAAACCAAGTGATTTAAGCCACTGCTGTAGAAATTTACCGATTTAGCCCAAGAGCGATCAAAATATTTTGAAACTGTAAACATCAGAGAACCACTAACTATAGAAATGGCATCAGAATTGATGAAACCAAAGCAAAGCAAGAGCTATTTATGTGAATTTGCGCACTATGGTATCCTTTACGGTATCCGGCAGGGTTCCTTCAAAAATCTTACAAAACCATACGTACCCTTGTCTACAAAATTTTGAGGAATGCTTCAGCAACTTGTACTCAAAACGACTTCACCTGGTCAATCGTGCAACATTTTGATCCAGAAACACGTAGAATACTTCTTCAACCATGGGAATATTTAACTTTTATGTTACCCAAATGTAGAATTCAGTCTCTTGATGAGGGGTTTATTATGTTTTTTACTATCAATTTGTTCCTGAGCACAACAACAGACCATGTTTAACGACCAAATATAAATTTTAAAAGGTGACTTGATATGCAGTCAGGACTTGATGCTCGGCAGCCTTTAGACCAAATGAAGAGGTTCTGTTCTGAAATTCTAGGCTTTTCTGTATCTTAATTTAAAAATTGCGCCTGAATGCGTTTCTTCTAAAGGCGTTTCTTCTGAGAAGTTCCCCTAAACAAAATACAAACTAGTTTGGAGTCATGAAGGTCTGAAAGTCTCTTAAGGTCTTACGTTTGGTAAACGCGGTAATATATTTGGTGGCTAAATGGAAAAAAAATTTGACACTGCAGTAAATGAAAAGTTGAAAAAAACTTGTGAAATTACGGGCATCAGCATGGAATTCAAAAAGCAACTCAACTTCAGAAATTGACAAGTGTAAAGAATATAATTATTCTTTGGCAAAAAAGAAGTAGAACTATAGCGAAGGATAGGGCAACAGAAGGCATTTGAGCCTAATAAACGACCAAATTTAAAAGTCGGCGAAGCAAGAGGTTGAGGCTCTTCTAAAGTGATCTATACAGCATAAAAAATCTGGCTTTCTGGTCCACAGAAAATTTAAGTTTTTTAAAACTGGCCTGAAACTGAGGCAGCAGTTGTAAAATTCCGACTATTTTCAGATAAAAGTGATAAAGAAAGACTGGTAAATATGAGAAGCTGCAACTTTTTATACCGTTATCCCTTTGTTTTCCGATGAAAGTTTAGCGCATTTTAGAGAAAGCGTTCAGTTGATCCCGAGGTGATGTCCAAATTTTGCTTCTGAGTCGTTGTCTGTGCTGCATACGCGGAACTTTAAGTCACGGCCGATTTATGGACCTTTAGTCTTAGCGCTAAATACAATATTTCTTTCTTGATAAGTCTCATAAATCCTTCTTTCGCTACAATTTTCTGCTATAAACCCAATTAGCTCTTATTGCTTACTCCAAAAATTGATAATTCCTTTGATTTTACTTCTATGGAAAATCTGTTCTTCAAAAGAATTTTTAAAGATCACCGTTTTTCTTAATAATGATTCTCTGATGACCAAAGTCTCAAAAGAAGAAGAGAATGCTGTTTGATGACTTTTTCTGGCAACAGTTCCATTTAAAACGGCTCTACGAAGAAACGAACAGGTGTATTTACAGACTTATTTAACATGTACTTTAATTACTTAACTTTAAAAAGATGTAATAGACAAATTAAAATAATTAACTAAATTAAATTTTTTCTTGCATGATATAGCTGAAACGATTTTCAAGGCAGTATTCTGCTGTGAGTTGCTCTAATAATCAAAAAACATCAAAAGGAAAGAAAAAATTGGAAAGAGGATAAATATAAAAATTATAGTTCGATATAAATCCCAAATGGTAAATGTTTGAATTACAAACTTCTAATACTTCTAATAAGTTAAGAAACTAAACTGCTGGCTGGACATGTCTTATAAAAAAGGGCGCGGAAAGGTGTGAAAGAAACCTAATAATTAACTACTAATCGATTCAAGAGCTTGTTATTATAAAGACTATCCATTTAATCTACTTATTACTATCAGTAAACGTCTTTTGTGTAAACTTTTATCTGTTCCTAAAAGCTTTCCTTTATTAACAAACAAGAAAGTAAGTTGGATTATCTATAACCATTTTGTGCATTGTCATGGCACTTAGAGGTGAGAGGGGAAGAAATCAAATTTCCGACACCGAAATGAAAAAGTTATGGTAACGCTGCAAAAAAAAGAGGTTAAATTCCAGAAACGTTTTGCTTTTAATTTTGGGTTTTTATTTTTTTGTTTTCCATTTTAATAACACTGAAAGTAATTGAAGTGGATGTACGCAAAATTCTGGTGATTCTTCTACCTGTTCCTTGCTTCCTACTACGGCTGAGGAAGTAGAAGTCTTGCTTACCTTTTTATGCCTCATCAAATATTACACGCGATTTGATATGTTGATTTTACTACTACTACTACTACTACTACTACTACTACTACTACTTTAATACCATGCGATTAATAGTTATTGTTATTTTCAGGAAATACTCCTCGCATAATCTCCCTTTTCCTTATCCGTCTCTTTCCATGCAATTTGTCTGTGGGTTATAAAAAAAAAGAAGCAAAACGGTCGAAGATCTGAAACAACACTCTTATTCCTTTTCTTTCTGTAGCTTTCCCTCTTCTTTCCCTTTCAATTTTGCTTATAACTTACTTCGGAAAAAGCAGAATTCACAGACTCCGTTCAATTTAATGCTCTCTAACTACCTCTTATTTTACTACACATTTTTTTGGAGGAAGGACGTAAACAGAAACTGCATTTTAAAAAACAGTGTTAACAATTGCCCATTGCCTACAGTCTAGTGTGTATGATTTATTTTTTTGTATTATTGTGCTAGTTAGAAACCAGAAAGCAAAAAAAATAAAAAATAAAAAAACACAGCACTCACATTGTTTATACATCATTTATTTTCAAGAAGCATCAACAACAGTGATACAGAAATGAATCGAAGAGTTTTGCTGTAAAGAATACACGGAATTCACAGATATGTGTATGGATATCATATATTTCTATCTTCAAACAAATGCACAAACACACATTCACACAAACACAAACACTCACACACACACAGATGGGTAAGGGTAAAGCGTTAACGAGAAGAAGAAAAATATAGAGATTCTTCGGTACCGAAAAGAATATGATTTACAAATTGTGATCCAATAACAAAACTGTGGTCTTGGTTTGATATTTCGTATTTCCAACCACCAAAACGTCCTCTTGAATAGATGTTGTATTTCTAGAAGAAAAAACACGTGCATATTCTTTAATATATTCTGTACGATGGTAAAAGGATGCTATTTACTTTTCAAAAAGTAGTTGCTTTGTTGACATTTAGTAGTCAAAACAGAGTATTCATTACATCAGTGGTGTAGTAAATACCTGAAAAATTTGATGACACCTGGACAACTCCTGATCTCTTCCGGAAGTTGGAATTGGATATCCGTAAGGCAGAACACATACCCAAATGTCGACAATTTCATTTGCTTCATCAATGACACCTTTGAGACGCAATCCTAAACTCAACAAAAACGTTTGTTTTACCCTTAATTTCACTCACAGAACACGAAAACAAATTTCGGCAAACATTAGTCTCTATAATTTTTCTGCGACATTTGTATCTTAAAGTCGTTAAAGCTTAAAAAAGCACTAGCAGTTTTCAAAAAGCTGTGTTTATGCACAAAAACAAAGTGCTTTAATTGATAAACAACTCTGCCAACTTCCCTTCTTTACAATCTGCTTGTTATTAGCCTACTTTCCCACTTCCTGCACGATATAAGTTGATTAAGGTGCAACAGCTAAACAACAGACCTTCAATGGTACGTTTCGTGATGTCCGATTCAATGAATTGTTCATTAGCGCCAAGAGCGATTTCGCAGAGCACTGACCAAAACTGTTCTGAGTCTGGTGTAAGGAGATCATTAAAATTTGAAAGAAAAGTACACCTAAATTTAGTTACTTTTTAACCTGCCGAATATAGCAGTGTTGGAGAAAAGATAGGAAAGACAAAAACGGTTAAAACCTATAAAACACGGTGTCGTCATATGGATAATACGCCCAACTTAAACATTGTGCCCATTCGCTTTGCGGGCATCGCAGTCCAATGCCGACAAGAACAACCTTGAAAAAAAAAAGCACCCAGTTTACTTTCAAAGCAAATTAGAGAAAAAAATATAATTACATCTATCAAATACTAATAAATTTAAGCTTTCTGTGAATCATAAAAGTTAAACTGCGGTTACAGAACTTGCAGAATTCAGTCAGAGCAACATTAAGAATTAAACCTTTGAATATTTGAGGTCAATTCTGCCACACAGCCTAGAAACCTCATCCAGCTGTACGATTGGTATTGTCGACAACACATAATCGTATTCATATTTACACCGTTCGCCATATTCATTTATCGCTTCTACCTTAAAAAGCCTATATTTAGCAATCTCTTTTTTTGCTTTTTATTTTTTGTCTTATTTTATTTATTTATTTTATTTTATTTCTTTGCGACTGTTGAAAAGATCAAATTGACTGTTACAAATAACACCTCATCTTTTCCCCAAATTATAAACTGTGCAGACACTTATTTTTAACATCAATAACGCATTAAAGACTGCACTTTAACTATTCTAAAAAAAAAACACTGAAAAAATTGAACCTTCTTTCTTATGCTACATTGCTGGCGTTGAATTGTTTCTAACCTTATTAAGGCTGATTTCTACATATTGGTAGACAATTAACAACGATTTTGTTAGCTATTGAAATTTGCGAAATTATAATGTCTGCGAAAACGTAAACTTTACTACCTTTAAGTGCTATAAAATTATTACTTTTTAATCGGAGTGTTTTTCAAGTACAAGTCAGAACGTATAAATAAAAAGTACCGTCTTTGTAGTAACATCAATACTGCAAACTGTTTGATTGAAATAGAATATATTTTTCGGATATTTGGAAACAACAGTTTTCCATATCGGTCCAATACCCCTCAGTTCGCCTGGATACCTATAGATTTATGAAACAATGATCTCCAATGGAAAAACTGCATTAACATATAAAATTCTATCAAAACAAAGAAAAAAAAACTCGTCTTGCGAGATAAACATATGTGTTTATTCTTTGCTAACGTTTTTCTAATATACTATTCATTCAAGAACATGCTTATATTTTTTACTTATTCACCGAAAGTATGTTACAGGACGTTTTTGATCTTCATCTTCCAGTGCTGCTCTAGATAGTTTACAACGTGCCTCAATTGCCTCTAGATTAATGCTTGGTACACGTCCGGAGACCCAACTACAGTTCATCTGGTCCAAGCTTATAGTCCAAACCGAAACAACACGTAGGTTATGCAAGGAAAAAAAATAAAAACTTCTTTTAATGCTTGGCGTCTTGCTCCAAGTTTTTGAAAAGTACGCCAAAACGACTACTATTCAAAGATAGTGTACATTTTTTTCTTCATTTCTTCACATTTAACAGCTATAATGTATCTTGAAGCGATGATAAACAGGTTAAAAAAATAGATCAACGCCATAATACCTTTTTTATTGTAAGGCCAGATGAACATGTCAGATAAGGTTTGCCCAAAGAACTGTCTTGTATAGTCCTCAAAATTCTTTGCAGTTTCTTTTGTACAGTTGTTTTTTAACCTTTTCAGCTCATCTAAACACTTATTCTTCGCTTCAGCCGGGAAATATGGTATTGACTGTTGCACTGGATAGGGTACATAATTTTCATGTGGTTTATCAGCTTTAATTATCTGCGATAAATCGGCCTGCAAAAAATGTCTTTTTTTTGGTACTTCTTTCTATATACTAAATTTAGTGTTTAAAGCAGAAGAAAAATATTAGATCAGTGTAAAAGTTTCAAGTTTCACCGTCTTTCAAAGGCATTAATACTGATGGCAACAGACAAAGATAACTGCTAAAAACTTTAACTTTTTATTCACTTATCTGTTCGGTTATAAACAAAAAAAAAAAAAAGCGACATTTCTCACCATGACGCATCTTTTTATGTTATTCCAAACATCAACTGCATTTTCAATAACTTCAGCAAAAATTTTATGCCGTGATATACCGGTGACATGGACACCAAGATCCCAGGTGAAACCTTTCGAGTCAGTTATTGATCGTGCTAAACCACCAACTTCATTTTCTTTTTCAATAACATAGATCTGCAATAGATCAGAAGCAGTGGCAAATTTTGCCTTTGGTTATTACCAATTCGATTGTTTTTTCTTCCTTTTTTTATGTAAAAAAATTTTTTTTTGTCATAATTACCTGAAGAAGATTTTTGTCGATTTTATTTTCATTAATTAACGAAAATATTTGATGTAATGCACCGATAGCTGTTGGACCACTACCAATTATTACCAGACGGCATGGCTTCTGAATTTTGCGTTTTTTATCCATCTAATCCTTTTGACGGCTACAGACGAAAATTTCTAATTATTTTTGCTTTCATTTTTTTACAGTTATATAATAAAAAACAAAATCAAAAAAAAGTGAATGAAATGAATAAATAAATCAAAAACAGAGATAGAAACAAAAGCAAAAAAAAAAAAAA